CCAAAAAGTGGTGAAGAGATTGCTATACCAGGAAAACTAAAGTCGACACAGAAATAAGAGTACAAGAAACAGTGAAGAGGGAACCAGCAGTTAGCGTAATGGCTATATTGCTGGACTCCCACGTAGTCGACCACGGTTTGCGTCCTGGACCCAGTGGCTTAAAGCGCATGCCGGGTGTGTGTGCGTGTGTGCCCAAGATCCTGAGAGGAGAATGGAGGAGAAGGGATTGCGGCGTGACCATCCCCTCTGGGGGGTGATTTCTCACTTTCTGTCTCTATACCTCTCTCTCTCTGTCTGGCGAGCGCACGTGCCCTATAGTGAAAACCTCTCAAAAAAAAAAGAGAAACAATGAAGAGAATGGCCATCCTAGTGGTAGAGGTAAGTCTGGAATTGAACATTAACTTCCAGAGTTTAAGTGGAATGATCAGACTACAGTAACACTGAAAATTCAGTAGAAGAGAGATTAATTATATGAGTCCAAACTAGTAAAATAAATTTTTTTTTACTTTAGACTAAAACATTACTACTGATTTTCATCAATGCTTTGATTTCCGTATTTAAGGATTTTTGTCTTCTCTTGAAATGTTGATAGGTTCATTACCTACCTTCTTCTTGTCTTTAAATTTTAAGCAAATTTCTTTTAATATTTTTTTATTTTGACCTGTTAAAACTAAAATTTTTTTGAAATTAATAAATGCATTAAAATACCTATTAATACCTATTTAATGACTTTAATAAGCTATATAGCTTCAGCATGGTGCTACTTTACAGTATGTTGACTTTATTCACTGAAGTTTACACTTAAAGTCAGACATGCATTCTTAAATATGTATATATCAGCTGTGTTTGATATTGAAAATCTTTAAATTAATTAAGATCTTTAGTGAATCAATAAAATGTAAAAAAAACAGACATGGAAAACAACTGTATATACCAGAGACAGTGTAGGAGAAGAGGGGGAGTTGGCAGAAGGTGAAAGGTAGGGATTGAAGGGGAAGCAAAATATTTAAGAAGTAAGAAATAAAAAATCATTTGTTGATGATAACATGTATGGTATTATCCTTGACTGAAAAAATGTACAATGTATACTGGATGGAACATCTCATTTTGTATACTGTACTGACATATAGTTAATTACTGTAAATAAATAATAAATAATACGTGTTTTTTAAATCAACACACCATTAGCTAGGTTAATTAAGAAGAGAGAAAACAACAAAACGGACAATACAACAGACACAATAGAAATACAAAACATCATTACTATGAGCGACTATATGCCAACAAACAAGAAAATCTGGGTGAGATGGATGAATTTCTAGACACATATAATTTACCAAGATTGAATTAGGAGGACATAGAAAGCCTGAATAAACCTATAATAAGCCATAAGATTGCATCAGTAATTAATAACTTCCCAACAAAGAAAAGTCCAGACCATGATGGTTTCACATGAATTCTACAAAATGTTAAAAGAAGAGTTAACCCCCATTCTATTCAGATCTAAAAGGAAGGAACTCTCTCAAATTAATTTTATAAAGTCTCCATCATCTTCATTCCCCAAACAGACAAGAACATGATAAGGAAGGAAAACTACAGACCAATATCTCTGATGAATATAGATGCAAAATTCTCAACAAGATTCTAGCAAATTGTATCCAACAGCACCTTAAAAAGATTATACATCATGGCCAGGTAGACTTTATTCAAGGATGCAAGGGTGGTTCAATATATGCAAAACCATAAGTGTAATATACCATATTAACAGAAAGAAAGATAAAAACCATATGATCATATCAATCAATGCAGAAAAAGCATTCAATAAAATACAACATCCCTTCATGATTAAGACTCTCAGCAAAATTATCATAAAAGGGACATTTCTCAACACAGGAAACGCCATCTATGAAAAATCCATAGCTAACATCATACTGAATGGGAAAAAATAAAAGCTTTTCCACTAAAAGCTGGTACAAGACAAGGCTGCCCACTTTCTCCACTCCTTTTCAATATAGTGCTGGAAGTCCTAGCCAGTACAGTCAGAAAAGAATATTATAAAAGGCATTCAATTAAGGAAAAAAAGAGATGAAATTATCACCATTTTCAGATGATATGATTGTATACATAGAAGACCTTAGGGTACCCATGAAAAAGAAAATCCTGGAAGTAACAAATGAATACTGTAATGCAGCAGGATACAAAAGCAACATATGAAAAATCTATAGCATTTCTATACAATAACAACAAGCAAACTGAAACAGAACTGAAGAGAGTAATTCCACTTACTATAGCCACAAAAAGTGTAAGATACCTAGGAATGAATCTAACCAAAGAAGTCAAAGACCTCCTAAAGGAAAACTATGAAAATCTAAAAAAAAAAAATTTAAAAGACACAAAATATTGGAAAGACATTCCATGTATTTGGATCAGAAAAATTAATATAATAAAAATGGCAATTCTACCCAAATTAATCTACATATTGAATGCAATCCCAATCAAATTACCAGAGACATTCTTCACAGATCTAGAAAAGACAATCACAGAATTTGTCTGGAATCATAAAAGACCATGTATTGCCAAAGCAATCCTGTGCAAGAAGAGTGGAGTGGGAAGCATCTCACTCCCTGACCCCAAAATATACCCCAAAGCTGTGATAATCAAAACAGCATAGTATTGGTACAAAAACAGACATGTGGACCAATGGAACAGAATAGAGATCCCAGAAATAAGCCTCAAAACATACAGCCAACTGATTTTTGACAAAGAGTACCAGTCAATCCATTGGGAAAAAGAAAACCTCTTTAGCAAATGGTGCTGGAAAAACTGGGTATACACCTGCATAAAAATGAACCTAGACCCCTATCTTTCACCATGCTCAAAAATCAACGTGGATCAATGATCTAAACCTAAGATGTCAAACTATAAAACTACTGGTGGAAAACACAGGGAAAAGTCTGAGAGACACTGGGGTAGACTAAGACTTCTTAAATAGGACGCCCATAGGGAGACAAAGAGGTAGGCAAACACTTCTTAAATAAGATCAGCAAAGCACAGATAATAATCCCTAAAATATACAGGTGTGATTACATCAGATTAAGACGTTTCTGCACAGCAAAAGATACAGTAATTAGTATGAATTGACAACCCTCAGAATGGGAGAATATTTCTGCAAAATATGCCTCAGATAACCAGAATACACAGGGAGCTCAAGCAGCTTACTTGTAAAAAAAAATGATTGACCCAATTAAAAGATGGGAAAACGGGCTGAACAAACAATTCTCTGAGGAAGACATATGAATAGCTAAAAAGCATATGAAAAAATGATCAACGTCCCTCATCACAAGGGAGATGCAGATCAAAACCACAATGATATACCACCTAACCCCAGTCAGAATGGTGAAGATTAAAAAAAACCTTTTTCTTGATAATGCTGATGAGGCTGTTGTGAAATGGGAACTCTCACTGTTGGTGGAAATGCAAATTGGTCCAGCCACTCTGGAGAACAATATGGAAGTTCTTCAAAGATCTACAAATAGAACTACCATATGATCCAACAATTCCACTGCTGGGTATATACCCAAAGAATAGGAGAACACTGAGTCAGAAAAAGTGCTTGCAAATCTATTTATTGCAGCATTATTCACAATTGCTAAAACATGGAACGAAACCAAATATCCATGAGCAGATGATCGGACTGAAAAAGTGTGGCACATATACTCTATGAAATACTATTCAACTATAAAAAAAACCAAGAAGATCCTGGCATTATGAGTGAAGCAAGTCAAGCTATGAATGAGAGACATCATCTCTCCAGTGAGTACATGCTCCCTATAACAAAACTCTCAAAAAACCCTGTTATCTTCTGTTAAAAGAAAAAGAAAAATGTGTCATGACTTTCCTGACAACCTAATAGAAAGGAAAGTTTTATGTCATCCCAGATGGAAGATGATGGTTTGTCACCTAATTCTCTGGACTTCTTATTATTGACACCATGTATCTATCCTACCAAATACAATATACTATACAAATTATTTCATACTCTTTATTTTCTCTTTTATAACTCATGAACATATTCTAACATCAGTACATAAAATACATTGTTCTTTTTCTTTAAAAAACATTTAATGTATCCCAAATTCACCCATGACTACTGAAAATAAGAATTCATATGAAAATTTTAGTTCCTAGGGCTGCACGATAGCACAACAATAACATGCGGTGCTCTGCAAGGCCGAACTACATGAGAAAGTTCAGGTTCCAGTTAGGACACTTCTCTGAGTACACCAGGCACATATGTGCTGTGACTCCAGGCTGGTCGAGGATGGGTCTGGGTATCCTAACCTTGAGATCCTATTGGAGGTGACTGTCTGTCTTTCTTTCCATATCTCTGTCTCTCTTGTGCATAGAATAAATAAATAAATAAACCTTAAAAAAATAAAAAAGGATTTCTAGGGGCAGTAGGTGGCATGGTGGTTGAGTTGCTGGACTTTCACATGGATAACTACGGTTCAAGTCCCAGACTTGGTGGCTAGAAAATCATGCTGAGCATGTGTGAGTGTGGGCCCAAAATCATGAGAGGAGAATGGAGCAGAAGGGATTGGGGTATGGCCAATCCCCCTGGGAGGAAATTCCTCACTTTCCTACTCTCTGTCTCTGTCCAGCAAGTGCAATGCCCTATGGCATAAAACAAAAACAATAAAACCTTAATACATATAAATAAATTATTTATATATGTGTACATATATATATATATATATGTATATATATATTTTACAAAAAAGAATTCTACATCCCTTTTCCACTCATCCCATCCTACTCCTAAGAATAAGAATAGTCACTTTAAAATTTTTCATGGTACATTTCCTAATTAATTTTTGAAATAAAATATTTTATGCAGATAACTGAGAAGCAAATCTAATATTTTTACATTTTTTAATTAAAAATTTTTTTTGATTTTTGGAGGTACTTAGTTTGCCAAAATTGAAAATGAAAACAATTACCTTTATAATTAGTGCTGAGCCATGACGGATTTGTTTTGAAGTCAAATGGTGCCAGGATATCCAATTCATATACCCTGAGGATGTTACATATGAAAAGAGTTTACTCCGAAGGAGTCATCCATAGCTGTGCATCAAAGCTTTGCACATCACTCTTCACATGCAAGGGTAAGTCATTACAGTCATCCACACTGTGGCATATTTAAAAACTGCCCAACTTGGATAGTAGCCTAGCATCTTGTGCACATTGTCTTCTTTGTCCAGTTAAGTCCATTTTTACCACCAAACAGATGCAATTGTATTTGAGATGTCAACTGTAATCTCAAGAACTTAATGCCATGGAGAGGGCAGAGAAGTGAAGCCAGTAAGACCCAAGTTCAGCCATAGGGCTGGCCCTACAGTGCCTAAATTTTGTAGTTGTATGTAGCTGGTGAACCTGTTAGTTGTCTCTTAAAGTTTTAAGGTTCAATTATTTTTAATTCCTTGCTTCTGACTTACATTAACTAGAAACCCTTGAAATCTCCTGCTCAGAGTCCTGCCTCTTTCCTGCTCCAAGCATGGCTTCACCATCTCTAATTCCAGGCAGATGCTTAGCCTTTGTGCGAGCACTGGATGCTTCCTTGGTGGGATTACATCCCAGCATGCTGAATAACATCCTTTTCATTGTGCAAATTGATATAGTCGCTTTTTGGTATTAACTTGCATAATAAAATAGAATTCCTTATTTGCACAAGCAAATTAAACTGTGTGAACACTTGATGTCTAGAAAATAATTTGCACTGTAAATAAACATAATGTACGTAAAGGCAATCAGTGTATTAGCAACTCATACATGAGAGGGAAATTCAGCCATAGTGGGACCAAAAAATTGCCTGAACACTAACGCCTCACACTTACATAGAAATATCATCAAAATACATGTATCACCTTATTTTGGTCCTCATGATAAGCCCTTTGTGAGTTTTTGCCTCCATTTGACAAATGAATGCACAGAAATAAAAGCTTTATGGCTTGATCAAGATGATTCAGGAACTTAGTAAGAACTTAGGCTGAAATGCAGGCCTTCTGATTCCTAGTCCATAGCTCTTTCCAGTACATAACAGAAAATATTTAAATAGGATATAGATGCTTGCCAAGCTCCCTTCTCGTTCAAATTTCCTCAGATCCAGTGGTCTCCCGGGAATAATAGTTTCACTTTCTTTTCATGACCATCCTCCAGAGAAGTAAGAGAAGCAGTCCTATGTCTATCCAGTGCATTTCATAACTGTTACTTTTATCATTTTCAAAGAAGGACATTGGCTTATTTTTGCTTAAAAAAAACCAAAAGGCAAAAAAACGTCACCTTAAAAATAGGCTCCATCTCTTAATTCATAAAGACTTGTCAAATATTAAATATAAAGTCTTTTCATATTCAAAGTCAGCTTTTTAGTTCTGTTTGAAGATAATGTGCTACTTACTTGAGTGTCACACAGCACATGCTCAGAGACACATAGTACACAGTGTAGAACAGGAGGACACATACAAGGAGGTTCTGCAAAACAACCTGCAGGGAAAACAAGCATGAGGTCCAAGAGCCAGGCTTTGTCACATGGTTGTTCATAACTAGCTTGCCAGAAAAAAAGAATGACTGTTCAACAGTGTTGGCTAGCCTTGTTTTGCTTAAAGACACTTGGAGACCCAGGGGGTAGGAAGGACTTCAAGGTGTACGATGAAAGTGTTTCTGGGGGCCAGCAGGTGGTATAGTAGTTAAGGCACTGAACTTCCACATGGCTGACCATGGTTCAAGTCCTGGACCCGGAAGTTTGAGCATCATGCTGGGCATAGGTACGTGCATGCCCACCCAAAATCCCAGGAGGAGAGTGGAAGAGAAAAGACTATGGCATGGCCCTCCCCAATGGGGGGTGAGGGGGTTGACTTCTCACTTTCCTTCTTACTGTCTCTCTCTGGTGAGCACAGGCACCTTCTAGTAAAAACCTGAAAAATAAAGTAAGTGTTTTTGATTGGAGATGCTGGCATACTGCACGTGTACACCTAAAAACAAACACAGTATGTAAATCTGTATTATTTATTTCGATATACTAGAATGAACTTTCTGAATGCCAATATTTATATTTCAGCTTGACAAAATGATTCTAACTCTCAACAGTAATAGCAGTAAAAATATAAGAACAGGTAAGAAATTTTGAAAAACCTCCATATAACAAAAATTAAACCTGTGTGCAAGAATTTACAGAGCCATTGGCTAAAACACAATAGATGGTCTTGAAATACTCTTCCGCATCTGAGATTTAAGAAGAAAGCATTGCAGATTAAAAGGGACCAGATGTGTTATTCAACAAATGGTGGTAGGAAAATTGTCTAACTTCTAAATAAAGAAATCTCATTAGATTCCAGGCTTGTACTAGACACCACAATACATTTCAGATGGATGAAAGGCTTAAATGCCAAGAAATAGGTTGGAAAATAAATTCTGCAGCATATATCATAGGCAAAAATAATTGGTATCTGTTATATGTAAAATCATAGAAATAAAAAGAAAACATGTGCCGCCCCAAAGCCTAATGGGTAAGGAAGCTGGATCCCATATGGCCAACTGTGGTTTAAATTCCAGCACCAGCAGCTTGAGAAACATGCCAGATATGTGTGTATGTATGCCCCAAATCCTAACAGGATAGAGAAATGGAGGAGAAAGGACTGTGTTATGACCACACCTCATCGAGGAGAAGGGACTGTGTTATGACCACACCTCATTAATGTGGTACTTTCTCTTTCTCTCAATCTCTTTGTATCTCTGTCTCTCTGTCCTTGCTGCCAAGCACATACACCCTCTGGCAACTGAAAAAGAAAATGACAAACAAACCAATAAAAAAATGGACAAAATACATAAATAGGTAATTCACATGAAGAAACACTCAAAAAGCCAGTAAACAATCAGAAATACACTGAACTTTACTGCAGATTTTTAAAATGTAGTTTTGTGATTATTGTGGTGATTGGTTATTGTGGTGTCTAGTACAAAAATTTCATATTTTCAATTTATTCTTTACACTTTCAAACCTATTTTGAAGTCATGCCTATTTAGCCAACACTCTAACACTTTAGAAATATTTATTTTCTTTCAGTGACCAATTCATCAAGTTTATGAAATCTCTTAATTGACCTGCGTACAGGAGGAGTCCCCTGCTAAAACAGGAAGAGAAGGAAACTAGTACAGACCATACCATGACCAACTGGTTGAATGGACCAGATTTACAAATTCTCCAATAACTTAATTTTATAAACTATTTTAAAATGAGTTCATTGTTAAGCCCAAGAGGGCATGCTAAGCCAGAACTTCGAGGTTCTGAGACTTGAGTATCTTCCCACATACCCTCCTCACCATCTTCAACCCCTCTTTCTCTTGGCCCATGTCTCCCCACCCAGTTCCTCTCCCTCTACCCCTCATTCTTATCCTCCCTCAGATCCTCAGTATTTCACATTTTTAATTCCCTAATCTCTCCTCAGTCTCTCTTTCCTCAATCCTTAGGCTCCTTCTATCCAAGTTTGTCATTCTCTCCCTAAAACTCACATAACTTTGTGGTCATGAGGGCTGACATAAATCTTTGAAAGGAAGATTAAAAGGATGGGTGCAAAAGAGACCTTCTTCCCACAGTTCTCTTACTTTTAGTAGAAAATAAAAATCTTTCCTAGAAACCCCCATTAGACTTCCCTTATGTCTCGTTGACTACCACTGGGCCATGACCCTGCTTACTAAAGAATCACAAGCCAAGGGAAACCAGCAGTTAGCGTAATGGCTATGTCGCTGGACTCCCACGTAGTCGACCGTGGTTCGCGTCCCGGACCCGGTGGCTTAAAGCTCACGCTGGGCACATGGGCGGGCGTGCCCAAGGGCCCTAGAGGAGAATGGAGGAGAAGGGATTGCGGCATGACCATCCCCCCTGGGGGGTGATTTCTCGCTTTCTGTCTCTATGCCTCTGTCTGTCTGGCGAGCGCACGCGCCCTATAGCAAAAAAATAAAATAAAATAAAATAATTTAAAAATTAAAAAAAAAGAATCACAAGCCAAGAGTAAAAGGGTTTATCATGACAGGTTTAAAACACTGGGATTTTGCTCTGAGGATAAATTACTACCGTCTCAGAAAAAACAAAAAAACAAAAAAACAGAAAAAACAACTTGGATTTCTATTTGCAAGGAAGAAGACATGGGGATGGGCAATTAACAGTGTTTTCCACACAGAGGAATTAATATGGAAATAGCTAAAAAGTCCCCATTTTGTAAAGAAGATCGTTTGGATGTCAAGAGAAGATGTGAATTGCTTTACCTGAATTGAAGGTCCAAGTATCATGCCCATAAATATACTCTTTCAATTTCTTCCCTGCTGTTGGATTCTGATGGGAGATGGGTATGGAAGATGGAACAACTTTAAAGCATTTTTAGGCCTGTGATTTTCTTTGTTTTTGAGAGAAATATTTTTGGTATAAGGCATGTGTGCTCACCAAAGAGAGAGATAGAGAGAAAGAAAGCAAGAAATCATCCCTTGGAGGATGGCTATAGTGCAATCCCTTCTCCTCCATTTTCCTCTTGGAATTTTGGGCACACGCTCACACATGTGTGTGAGTTTCAAGATGCCAGGTCGGGCACTTGAACTACATTCAGCCATATGAGAGAGTAGCTTTTGGGAGAACTTATCTGTTGACAAATTTTATATATAAATATACCTGTTTTTCACCAAAACTGTATAAAAATGTTACATATAAATATAACATTATAACCACATATATTTGAATTATTTTGTGAGAAATATTTTGAAAAGCAAGGCATAATATATGTAAATCTTAACTTTTTTCTACCTAAATGGTAAATCTAGATTTTTTAAATAATAGCTTTTGTATAAACAAATTCACTTGCCTGTAATTTCTCCTTCTCATCTATACTCTATACACATTGTATTGACAAACTTCCTTTTTTTTTTTTTTTTTTTTTTTGAGGGTTTTTGCCTTTGGGGCCCTTGGAGAGGTTTTTGCTATAGGGCCTGTGCACTCACGAGAGACAGAGAGAGACAGAGAGACAGAAAGCGAGAAATCACCCCGGGGGAAGGGCCACACTGCAATCCTCTAGGGATCTTGTGCACGCACACACACGTGCCCGGCATGAGTTTAAGCTCGAACCGCAGTCGACTACATGGGAGTCTAGAGACATAGTCATAGACCAACTACTGGTCACAGTATTGACAAACTTTATAAAAGACAATCAGACCATGTCCTTTACCTGCTTTATCCTTCTTTGGCCTTACACTGTCACAAGGATTCATTCATTCATTATTTTCACTTTCTTTTTCTTTTTAACTGCTTGAGGATGCATGCATTTGTCAGAGAAAGACGGAGACAGAGAGAGGTAGGCTGCACCCTCTTCAGTGGAGTGTAGTCATACTATAATCTCTTCTCCACTTTTCTATTCTGTTCTAATTTGGGACATGCATGCACATACAACATGTGTCAGCTGGGGCCAGGATTCAAAGCATGTGTTCAGTCATGTGCAGTCCAGTTCCCTTAAACAGTAGCCTATTAGACTGGTCCCATTTCCAAATAGTCACTGGCTTGGATGATAATGAAAGATGAATTGAATTTGGTCACAGCCATAGGCACTCAGTATAACAGCCATTCTCAAATAAACAAGCACTATATCAGACTCACGCTAAGGGCCTGTTAAAACAAGACTGCTGGACCCCAGCCCAAACTAGAATTTGCATTTCCCACAAGTCCCTAGTGGATACTGGGTCTGCTGTTGTTAAGGTCATACTGAGAACCACTAATGTAGAGCCAGAATGAGTAAACAGATGACTACAATCCAGAGAAGAGCTGTAATTTAGAAGCAAACAGAATGCTGTGGAAGCCCAAGAGAAAGACAGCAGAGGATGACTAGGATGAGTGTGCGTGTTTGTGTGTGTGGTATGTGAGTGTGCATGTACATGTACACATGCACTATCATTTGAATATGTCCCCCCTCAAAAAAAATTAATGTGCTGAGATTTGGTTATAATAGGATTAAGAGGGTGAAGTTTAATACAGTTGTGATATTAAAAGTTTGGGCCTCTGGAAGGAGATTTGGATTAAGGTCATCAGGGCAAGGTCCTTTGATTGACTCCTAGTGGGTTTCTTTTTTTTTTAAAGAATTTTTTAAAATTTTTATTTATCATTGTTATTACTTTTTAACTTGTTATAGGGTACATGTGCTGATCACCAGAGAGAGAAAGAGAGGGAAAGTGAGGAAGCAAGCCACCAGGTCCAGGACTTGAACTATGATAGGCCATGTGGGAGTCCAGTGCCTTAACTGTCATGCTGTCTGCCATCCCCCAGTGGGTTTCTATGAAGAAGAAATAAAATAAAGACACAGACAGACTCTTCTGCCTGCCATTGTGTGGTAACACAGCCAGAAGACCCTTTCTAGATGTCCTGGACCTTGGACCTCCAAACCATGAATGGAATAACCTTTATTTCTAAATTACCCAGATTCAGGTATTTTTTATTAACAACATTAGGGACT